CAAGTCTACCCACTCCCAACCCTACCAGTGATTGTTTTATAATAAATACTTACATACCAATTTGAAGGAGTAGTCTACATATTCCTCAAATAGCTGTTTTTACAGCACATTTTTTCTTTTCTACAAACAATCCATATTACTATTTTACTCTTGTTACACACGAGGAGTTGAAAATAAAGCATAAATTTCAATTAAGGAAATAATCAGCTTACTACAAGAGTAGATAACTAATACAAACTGTTCCTTGGGTTTCTAGAATATTTTCACCTTTGCTACTACTGCTGGAAGTACTAAACTATTGAAGTTAGCAGTATGATAGCTCATAGATCACCATTCCAACATGAAAGAATAAGAAGCCCGTTTCAATAGTTTTATTGTTTTGTCATAAAAAAAAAAGTTACAGCTAGTTCAAATATGTACAAATTGCCATAAAAACAAAGCCATGTTTCATTATACACGAGCCAAATTGTCATTACGACATGGCTATAAAGATCATCATTTTTAAAAAAACCTCCCACAGGACTAAAAGAACTATTTAAACATTTATGCTCCGGAAGCCTAGTAGCAGCAGTTGTCAGCATATCTCATTACAAAAATCAGGGAGTGATAGTTGGACTAGAGTAAAAATAGGGCATTTAACTCTCAACAGATAACAAAAGAAGGATCATGGCTGCCGGTCTAGGCTTCGTTTTGGTCTAGGCTTTGTTTTAACAGCGATTAAGCGAGCACAACTGACTCCCCTTCAGAAAGAATCTTCCAAGAGTTAAGATCCATGCCTCCCATCTTTCTGTCGTTTCCTCATCCGAGTCACACTCTGTCTTCAGCTGATTTCAGTTATGCGTTCAGTCCTCTATGCATTTCATTCATTTCCTTCATCTGGGGGTGAGTGGGGAAAGAGAGCACTGTCAGCTTGACTATTCAGTTACAACATTTGGATTCCTATATAAATACTCTGCACTTGGCGCTGAGCAACATACAATGGCATCATTCCATTCAGTAGGAACTGCAAGGCTCATGCAAATACCTCAAGCAATGACGTTTGTAATAGAACAGGACTAACAGTGCTTCCTGTGGATTGCACAGCCTTTGCTATAGATATGTAAAACGGTACTTGACTCCAGTACTGCCACCCGCCTAAATCCTAGGAAATGCAAATCGCCAATTGCCTCTGAAGCTACTGCAGAAAATACACGGTCGACTACAGGGATGAAAGAGCAGTTACAGCGTTTCAGTGCTTTTATACTCTTTTATTCTTCATACTTGAAAATACCTGCAGCACCTAATGCAAGCTTTTAACCTACACCAGAACTCCTGATCAAATTTGGATTCTAGCTAACCTGTTCAATTTCCCCAGATAGCATCAACAAAAATTACCTCTGCTTTCACGTACTTCCCTTTCCTCCTTCTTGAGACAACCTGTAAGGAAAAGGACAGGTTAATTGTCAAGTTTAATTTTAAGTGAAGACCTAAATGTGCTTTTTCCAACCCTTCACTTTCCATACATCACCCTTGTGTCATAATGGTGCATCCCATCACCTCTTCTCTACTCCCCAGTCTCAAAAACAATATCTAGCATTATAGTTTACAAAGGAAAACCTATTGAGAGTCCCATTACCCTGGTGCATTATCTCCCAAATTTCACTACTATTCTGGCAGCTTTTTAGAACTTACCAGAGCAATAATTCCAGCAACTACTGCAAGTACTACGATAACAATGACAGCAATAACGCCAGCAGTCAGAGACTTCATGGAAAACTCCGGTGGTACTTCATCAACATAGTAGACCATCATGTTCTCAAAAGTCAGTGCTTCGTTATCGATACTCATGTTCAGCGCGTTAAGAAAGATGGGATCACCTTTTACCTAGGGCAGACAGCAAAAGAGACTTGCTTGTTCAGCTGGCAATAGACATCATGTAGGCATTCCAACAATTTACCTTGCATTAGCCAGCACACAGTAAGGCTACTGAACATAATGCAATACACACTTAGTCTTTCAAACTTTACCCATGACACTTACATCTTTTTCAAAGTAGTAGGCCACATCAGCTATATCCACATCCCCAGAGGATTTATCTGAGGAATTTTGCTTCAAATCAATAGTAATAGAGGGATTTTCATACTGGAATATAAAAAAAAAACAAAACCAACAATAAAACACACATCATTAAAAAATGACTAATTTAGATCCAACTATTAAATACACAGCAAAGTATTACAAAATGTGATCCAACTTGTGAGATCACATTCTAAATCAATTTCATGGTACTTCTCAAGCAAAGTTCTTATAGTATAATTCAAATTCCATGTTTTAGTGAAAAATAATTCATATATAGACTAAGCAGACAGACATGCAACTTTCCAATATTTAATTTCAGATACAGCTACTCACTAGTGCTCAGTAAGCAATATTATTTTGAAAGCCTATGGTAACATACTGTAGCACATTCACGTTTTCAAAGTAATCAACATTCCTTTTTGTTATGAATATTTCACTAAAAATTATGTGCTTCTTACCGTAACACCAGCTATGTAGCGTCCATCCAACATGTAACGACTGGTAATTGTATCCTTAAGAAATCTGCAAGGATATTAAAACCATAACTGTTGTAAAAAGCAAAGTACAATTACACACAACTATTTTTCCAAAGAAGGAAAGACTAGTAACATTTTTTCCTCCTGCAGTTTGTTTGTGAAAAGCTGATCGTAGATGGCAGGTAAGCTCCAGCCCAGACTTTCACTTTCTCCCTGCTAGCAGCGTGGGAGAGAAGGCAAGGTAGTAAGAAAAAATCCTTTATGGGTCGTGATAGTTTACTAAATGAAGTGGTGGGAGGAAAAAAACAAAATCCCTAGGCAGTGTCCAAGCAATAGCTACTCTGGAACCACTCCCCCCAACCCCGATTTATTGCCAAGTGTGACATTTTATGATCTGAGGTATCTCTGGTCAATCCAGGTCAGCTGCCTCAGATGTGTCACCTGCCCATCCCCAGTCTACTCACCATGGCAGCAGAGAGAGACAAAGACCTTGACAGTATGTAAGCACTGATCAGCAACAGCTCAAACACTGGTGCTTATCAGTACAGTTTCGGTCACTTCTGCTTTGAAAAAAAGTTAACTCCAACACAGCCAGACCCAGCATGGCAGAGTTCTGTTGATTCCCAAAAGTGAAGTTGCACTTATGGAAAAATAAACAATTACTGTACTGGCAAAAAGCAGAAGACCTAACAGTCGACCTAACAGAGAATTCACAGGAAGAGGAGCTATACAGTAGGATTTTTTTTTTTCCCCCAAGAAAATAAGCAAAATAAACTTCACAGCTACAAACACTTTTCTTGCCTTACGACCTTTGACAAAAAGGTAGGATTTTACTTCAGCCAAAAATATAGCTAACCTGTTTTGTCTCCTTCATCTTCACAGTTCCTCCCTCGTCTTTGCCAGTTTAATTTTTTGACAGTTTCTCCTTATTACCTATATTCTACTTCTTCCTCTACCAGGAGCAATCAGTTTCCAAAATAAGATCAATTTCCATTGCAAATGAAGTTTTAAGGACCTTCATAAGTCACATCCAAGATGTCTCATGAACAAATGAGCTCGCATATTTGACAATACTTTTAAGCACGCAGTTGTTTAGAAGTACATTAGATATCTGATAGTACGTGCAGATATTTTCACAAGACCTTCCAATCATCACTTACTTTGTTAACGTCTCTGCGTTCAGAGGAGTTTTTCTCTCAGCATGCTTCATTTCAATGATGATCCACCTGAAGTAGGATATAAATACAGTTAATATTCTTAAAAATACATGCATGTGAAGTGCGCGCTACTGTTTCTAATCCCATGAGAGGAAAAAAAAGACACTGAGGAATAAAAAAAACACCAAACATCTTCCCCCTTCCCCATTATTTTCAAAGGAAAAAGTGACAAGTACTTATTGCTCCATGTTCAGTCCTAGGGCATTATTCATACTGACAAACCCCATAAGATTGATCCAAACACAGGAAGGTTTTCAGGTTACAGCACACCCTATTGAGAAGACTTACATCGTCCTGACTAATTGATTGCATTTCAGGTCTGTGTCATGCTTGTCGGTTCTTCTGACACCAGCCGTGTTCACACACCAGCAGGTGGTTCCATTGCACTGCTTTGCCTTGAAGACACCATTATTTTCACATTCAGGATCGTACAGACCATCAGTATCTTGAAGCGCATCTTTGGGTTTCTCACGGCGGCCTGATTTTGTGTTTGCCATTTCAGCTTTCATCAACAGGCATTTGGAAGTCACTAAAATAACCAGCAGAAAGTCACATTACACAACAGGAGCGTTCAGAACTCAGGCTAGGAAAGCAAAAGGTTACAACAGACGTGACGGCACCTGACGCCATTACAAGGAAGAGCAGGCACCCAAGATGTAGGTGTGCACAACATCAACACAGCAGGGGGATCTGAAAGCAAATGCTTAAGAGCTCTAGGCTACCTCAAACTAAGAGTAAGGTTTTGGTACGGAAGCTCTAGGTTTGAGGGGGAAGTCGGGATGATTACTTCGAAGGAAGCCAAGAATTAGTCTTTGAGACACCCCTGCCATTAGGGATGAACTGTTAAAGAGCATCCACACAAGTCACACGGTCGGAATCAGAAAGGCTCTGTCGCCAGCTGGTTGGCGTGGGAGGCCTGGGAGAGCCCTTCCTTCCCTCTCTATCGTTATCTCCGCCAGGAGCTCACCACCCGTTTTCACATCTCCGCTTGAGCGCAGCCGGGGGGTTCAAAGCAGCGGTCTTTACTCACGGGTCTCGCAGCTGACGGACACACTGGAGCCGATGGAGTTGCAGTTGCAGACGCCGTCGACCAGCCTGCAGTTGGTGACGCGCTTGTTCATTGTACAGGTGCACGCTGCAAGAGACGCGCGGCCATAAGCGCGGCGCTCCCTAGGGCGAGGCGGCAGAGGGAAGGGCCGAGCAGCCGCCCCTCGGTCCCTGAAGCGCGACGGCTCCCTTCCCGAAGCACCGCTCCCCCCAGGACCCTCCGCCCACCGCCCACCCATTGAAGCCGGGCCGCTCCAAGGACGGCGCGGCAGCCGCAGCCACCAACGGGTGAGAGAAGCGCGGCCGCCGGGCACCACCGCCCCCGGCCCAGCGGAGAGGGGGCGCCATTTTGTGGCGCCGCAGGAGCCGCTCCGCGGGGAGCGAGGGGTCGCGGTGCGGAGGAACGGGGGCACTCACAGTCCTGAGCGCAGGCAGCGGCGCAGAGCAGCAGTAGGAGCGCGGCCCCGCGGAGCAGCTCCATGGCTTCGCGGCACGGAGGGGCCGGGAAAAGGCTTCCGAGGAGCGGGCCGGGGAGAGCGAGCGCTGCGTGCGCGGCGGGACCCGGTGTGAGCCGCCCGACAGGTCGGGCAGGTGGTGGTGCGCCGCGCCCTGCCGGCTCCGGTTACACCTGGGACGGGCGGGGGGCGGCGGCACCGCCTCTCGGACTGCAAGGGCAGTTAAACCACCGCCTCCTCCTCCTCCCCCCGCACCTAGGCGAAACTGGAGAGAGCAGGGCGGACCCGATCTCACCTACCTTCCCTTCCCCGGCCCAAATATAGCCTCTTCCGGCGGCCCAGCAGGGAAACGAGCTGGGATGGGTGGTGGGAGCGCCCTGAGGCGCGGTCGGTGCTGAGGAAGAGGGGGTGAAACTGTGCGGCTCTGGGTGTCAGAAGGGGATGGTGTCCCTGCTGCCGGCAGAGCGAGTCACTGGAAGACGGGTCTGCACACCGCCACTGGGTCTGCCTCCTCTCATGGCCGTCGTGCCCTGCCCTGCCCTATTGTCAGCACTCATGGGTGTTCGGGGTCTCCTCTGTGGTCGTGCTGTTGCAGGCTGAGGAGTTGAGGATTGACGTTGCTCAAATTCAGTATACTTTTCCATAAACACTGAACTCTTTAACAGAAATAATGATAATCCCTCGGGAAAAACAACCAAACAGAAAAAAAACAACTAGATCACCAGTGCACACAGGGTACACTTTCTTAAGGTTCTTCTTCTTTACATGTATTTCAAAAGCAGTGTGGTAAACTCCATGCTAGGCCGCTGTGCTTTAGGCCTGCTCTGGAAGGTGTTGCTCTGGCACCAGGGTATGCACTTTCCTCATCCCAAAAATGCAGTCTGCTTCACAGAACACAAAACGGGCAGTAGAGTAAAAGGAGAGGAAGTCAGGCAGGAAAGCCTGCTGCTGTTTTTAGAATTGCTTTCCAAACTGACAGTGATGTCAAAGCATAAGACAAAAGGTTGGCAAGGGATACCAAAAACAGTTTCTGATTTTTTTTTTTTAATGTATTTGTTTCTTCGATTAAAAACAAGCAAATACCTGGATCTTTCAGGAAGATATAGCAGTGTCTTGGAAACTAAGTGGTTTTGGTGAAAGAGAAAACCAGAATGACGTGCTGCATTTGTGAGAAATCAATGAAATTTCCAAAGACAGTCGAAACTTCCTCTTGCCTGTGTTTACATTGGCTGTACAATACAAACATGTCGCCACTCCTTTTTAGGTGCAGATCTCAGTTAATGAAACTGTTTAGAACCTTTGTGTGTTCTGAAAAGTAAGCACAGGGTGGCTGTCTTCGTGATCTGTTTCTGCACAGCTGTGTTTGTGCTGCATCTTGGGTTTTGTATTCACTATGGTCTAAAGGGCTCTGCTGAAATCAAAGAGGAGCTGTCTCCTATGGGTCTCAGTTAAATGAGTGTTCTCAGGGGCTTGGGACAGCCTGCTTGAGACTCTTCCAGAATTTTCTTGATTTTTCTTGCAGGTTTGAGTGGCTTAATAACAGTCTTCTGGTCTAGTGTTAAGAGACTTGAATTAACAGCATCACATTAGCAAAGGGAAATCTTGGAAAGATTGGAAAATCTCAGGCACAGACTTTTCACAGTGTTGCTGTCAGATGATGTCATTCTGCTTAAAGATGGGCAGGGTCAGTAGGCTCAGGAAAGCCCATTTGATTGTAAACCTCACTTTGTATTTAAATTTATTGTTGTTCATTTCCTTTTTTTTTTTTATCTTTTTTTCCTTTTTTCCCCAAAATGAAGAGTTCCACAGCCTCCAAACTGCCTCCAAACTCTGGACAGGTCTTTGCTGTCAGTGTACAACGGCACCACCTTCAGTCTCTGAAGATGGAACAGACTTAGGATATTTGTGTGGCCTGAGGAAGCCCAATTCAGTGAATTTTGGCCTTTTCGGGTGATTCATTTCATCCTCGCTCAACTGTCAGCAGTAGAATGCCCTACTGTAACTGCAGTAAAAAGATAGGTGCACTGTATTGCTTTCTGTAGAACAGCATTTGATTTCACCCCAGTTTGCAGAATGAATGCAGATTTCATTATCTTTATTTCCTCAGCTTTCCACATAGAATGAAGTTGTTTATATATATCGACATTGCTCAGTATCTTAGAAACAGAGGGAATTTCTCTCCATGATGTTGTTCCACAGCAAAGCTTTGGGAATGAAAGACCATTCTCAACAGCATGAATTTTAGTCTCTTTCCAGTTTATTTTGAGGAAGCTTCTCCATAGAATCCAAGCCAGTGGATCAGGCATGTGGTTAAAATGGTAAAACAACACGAGTATTGAAATTCCTTAATTACAGAGACATCCCAGTCAGTGTCTGGAGAGAAGGTGGGAAATACATTACATTATTCAATGTCTGTCCTAAATAAACGTTCCTCACTGTACAGCTCTCAAGGTAGGGTCTTGCTCACTGCTTACAAATAGGACAGTTTCATCAGCAGTTGGAGATACCTCTTCTTATCAAATAGCTGAATGCTTATGAAGCAGTGCAGTGTAGGCTAGTTGTGGTTTACACTTATTAAAGCATAATTATAGCTCAGACTTACTACAGTTTAAATGCTACAAACACATTACTGGTTCTATCATGCATCAAAAATGTTTTGATCACTAGGCTCAGGGGAACATGTAAACCCATCTTTGACAAACTTACATGATCAGCTTCATATCTGATCATTTATATAATTTATATCTCCAGACCTGTTTAGAGACTAAAGTTAGTTCACTTCCCAGCTAAACTTCAAGAGCTATGGAGGCCAGTGGGAGATTTTCCATTGATGTCAGTGAGCTGTGGATCAGGTCTGAGGAGATAAATCCAGTTCTTTCAGAAGCCAGTAGGAATTGGGGTGATAATGGGACACAGCCTGGGTCTTTACCACGTGATTTGGGTGAATGGGCTTGTGACACTCCACAGACACAGTAAATGGCCAAAATCTGCTTTCAGGGAAAGTTGCAAGAATCTGTGAGTCACTCCTGAAGCACCAGGAAATGCTGAAGGTGGGGCTGTGACATGTATTGTGGACAACAGATGGAGAGATGAGTGGGGAGAGGATGACAGGTTTCGCTGGAGTATTTGGCAATCTAGCTCTAACTGAGATTTTTTTAGAGGCTTCAAATCTGGCCAGTTTTGGGTGTGAGGATGACCAAAGGTTTGTCCCTAACAAATAGGCCGTGTATGATGCCAAAGCACAAAAGACAGTGCTACTGCTGTTTGCCCACAAAATGAACGATTTTGGAAAATGTGTGATGATTGGTTAGGTCTGACAAAGTTATGAACAAACAGGAACAGTTCTGCACTCCAGTGACAAGTTTTTTGTAAACTCAGACACTTCCTATTAGGATATTTGTATAATGTTATTTTTATTTTTATTTATTTTTTATTGCAGACTCTATTGTCTACACAGAATGAAGCCTTGAAAGGACCATAAGAAGAGACAAAACTGGAAAATTATGTATAGTGTCTTGTTCACTATATGTTTCTGAACATGCCAGACCTTCACAAACCAATGCGTGCTTCTGCTCACTGTACCAACACTGACTTATTTTTGAGCAGCGTTACATACAGTCAAGTACTATTATGTTTATTTTTGCCTTGTTTCCAGATAGTTTTGAATACTGAAAGTTTATAAAAGTAACAGTATTTGTTTGTTTTGCTGGAATTGTTGTGCACACTGGAGATGGAAATTAGATCAGAGGCAATGGCAACACTCAAAAGCCTGTCCTCATCTTAGAAGCTCGCAGCTTGGTACTCCATCAAGCTGCAAACCTTTGGCTGAAAGTAAGAGTGTCTGAAGCAAACAGCTGTTGTTTCAGAGGTTCTTAAAACTAGACGGGGTGCAACCACAGGAGAGAAATGCTCATGTAATTAACGTGTGTTCTATTTGCATCTTTGAGGATTATAGAAACCAACCTGTCTGATACATCATGGCATCCTCACCTTTCTTCTAGGGCTTGGTCTTAGCCCCAGCGGGTGGGGTCACTAACTGACTCATCATTCCTCACTTTACTGCCCTGGAAACACATCTTCATGACTCTTATACCTACAGAGTATTTAGAACATCTGTTGTCATCATTCAAAGCTGCTTAAAATGCACAGCATGAGAAGTAAAAACTGGAGTAAGTCTATATCCAGACTACTTTGTAGCTGGGAGGCAAGCATATTCAAAACAGGTGGTTATACGGGCAGATAGCTGTCCTGTTTCTCAGTATGGTGGCAGTACTTCCCTTGTGACCTGGAGCTGTCTGCCATTAAATCTCCTTGTGTTGGATTGAGCGTGCACAGGTCACTACAAGACAAGCTAGAGTAGATTTGTGGTTTGTCAGTCAGCTAATGCACAGTAGCAGCCTATGAACGGCGTTGGACCTTGCAGTATGCAGAAGACACCTATTCCTCAAAGAGAACAGGGTCACAGCAAGCACACAGGCAGTTTCCATGGAGCAGTGAACCTGCTGTAAATCCCCACCCAGTCTTGCCTCATTGCAACACGTATGTGTAGTCATACCCAAAGCAAAGGTGAACAAATAGAGCGATGAGACGAGCAGAAAAATCTAAGCCCACAAACAGCACTGAGCAAAGCACCGTGAGCCGCACAGAGCAGGGGTAAAGAAGTTAGGTGTGCCATAGCTCACACTGTGTGGTGAAACTGAAATAAATGGCTTTTGTGTTGAAACACCTTTCCTTTCCTACTTTATCCTGTATTTATTTATTTACTTACTTATTTCTGTTTCGGTTAGCACTAGCTGCTACCAAAGTCCATCTGTTTTCCTTTGCACTTTAATTTACAGCCCTTGTTAGTCATTTTATTGCTTCAGGTTCTGAGGGAAAAAAAACTTTTACAACTTGTGATTGCTGATCTCAAGCAAACCAGAGCTTTTTGACCTGGCACAGGGGGGTAATTATAGAGCCCATTGCTTCTTGGGAGGGGCATTGAATATTTAACAAACTGTGGCGAGTCTCATTTAACCCTTTGGAGCTTAGACCATTGGATGGCAGTGAAAAAAACACATGTTGAGGCTCTCCAGCTCACAATGTAATTCACCTGTTTTTAGTCTTGCCTTTCTGCTACTGAGCTTGGAGCTGTTTCTTTCATCACAGCATTGGGAGGATAGGAGACAAAATACTTGCATCTGAAAACATTTCTTTCCTTACTTTGGAAATTACTGCTGCCTTATTGTTGGTTAATCCTGTCATAGTCTTCTGAGTGCCCTGCTGTCAAAATAAAGTCTCTTGACAATAGAGAAATTATACTCTCTTAATTACCACTATTGTTTCATATTACAAGGGCTGTGGTCATGGACAAAGATTCAGTTGTGATCAGCAGCATAAAAACAGTATAAATAGATACCTTGTGTTTGAAAGAGTTTGCGATCTGAATTATGCAACAGTAAACCGTGAGTTAAAGCTGAACTTAGGAATGGGGCATGAGATCAGAAAGATTTACAGTTTGCCCAACTACAGAATCATAAGCCAGCTAACTAGAGTCTGAAGGCACTTGCCTATTCCTCATCCACGCAGCCGGCTGTTAGTTCAAGTAATGGCAAATTCTCCTTCAGAAAAATACTAGGGCATTGTTTTGAAGGCACCAAACTTGTTATGTGTGTTATTTCCCTAGATAAAAAGATAGATTTATTTACTGGATAGTAAGTTGCCCATATGTGCCACAATATTGTGTATTACGGTGCACATATATATTAACATTAATGAGACTGTGCATGCGTGTTGCTGTTCACTAGACGTGAATGGGAAATTTTCAGCTGGCATGATTTTATATAAACATTTTACTTTATTTAAGTAAAAGCTCTGGAAGTTGTATTGGTTCAGCTATGTTTTCATTGGTAGGATCTTTGAAGTCTGGTGTTTGCTTGTTGTTCCTGAGAGGAAAGAGGGAATACCTACAGACTGAAGTGTTTACATTGTCCACTGCAAATGTGAGTAGTCTCCACATGCGCAGTATGCTGGGAGCTCTGGGGCTTGGTCAACACATCTGCTCCTTGCTCCTGCACCTGTGTCTTGGGAAGCCTGCTGCTCTGCAGCTGGAAGAAATGGCTGTAGGTCATGACAGCACAGAGCAGTCTGGTTCATTAGGGCTCTTTGCACAATACAGGATGAAGAAACTGCAAGAGCGCAACTGGGTAATGAATACCCATGCTTATTAAATGCTCACTAACGTGCAAATACCCAACTTCCAGTGGCTGCTAAAATGTTGTGAGAGACATCAGGAGGTTAAAAAAAAATCACTATATAGAGTACTGCACACCTCACATCCTTTCCCCTTAAAGCAAACACGCACTTAAGAGGTGGGAGCTGCTGATGTTGAGAGACACAGCGTTGGTTCCTCATTAGCTTTGCTGTGACACTATGGTGAAGACCTAGCATAGTGTCACCTGTTTATTTTGGCAATTAATTGGAACTCTTGAGGTAAGACTATTTTGTTTCATTTTATAACCAGCACAGAACAGCCAATCCTTAAATCTTAAATGCTTCCACTGATTTGAGTGGGTTAGGTTCATACAGGATATATCCATCTATTATAGAAGTAGAAGTGAACAGCAAGTTCAGACTTATGTCCCCAGTATTTAATCTAGATGTGCTGTTATGGAGCACCTGGCTGTTCAGAAGCTGCGTGTTTAGACACGCACTGGATTTGCTGGTGACCTCGACATTCTTCTGCCATTTGTTGTTTTAGTCTAGGCAGTACATTTCTTACTCACTGCCTTATTTCCAAATGATTTTTTAAATATAGTTTCTGAATTTCTCAGCTCTCAAGAGCAACCAGAGCTATTCTTAGCCTTATGTATTAGAAAACCCTGATGAATGCTTAGAAGTTCTTTTCAGGTAAGCAAAGCAGACAACAATTTCCATGTCCGTCCATCCATCACTGACATTCACTTAAGTGGCACTAGAGCATTTTAATTTTAATCCCACGGTAGCATTTGTTGACAGCAGGGATTTATCATGAAGGCTTCTTTCTCACATCATTAGCTGCTGGTTAGAGTACCAAACAGGTAAGCCATATTCAGGCTGTTACGTGTGTGGCCCTAGTCCAGGAACTTGAGTGCTGCAGTGATGTGCTATTTCATGCAACTCCTCTAAATCCTTACTCTCCCTTCCCACATAAAGAAACAGGTTACTAGTGAGAGATGTGGATTCAGGTCGTGTATCTGTTTCTTTTTAAATTTTCTGACACCCATGTGCTTTACTACAGCGTATATTCTAAAAGAAATATGGCCAGGGTTTCATTTTGAGATGAATGCTTGCATTTCCCTACATGTCTTTAGGAACAGAGTTCTCATTCTGCATGTTTCATTTCATCTACAACATGTTTGACTGAGGCTGGGTTCCTCTGTCAAGGCCAGGAGTCCTATCTACAAGGAAGAGAACTGTTCTTTTTTTTTTTTCCTCTCATCTCATACTCGGCAATAAGAAAATTCTATCATTGGAAAAATGCGTATTTTATTGTGAACAGTGATGTGTACTTAGAAGAACCATCTTCCTGACCTCCTGAGAAGAGATAGACCAGGTGTTCTTCCAGTGGGACTTTTATCTTTCTCAAGCAACAAAACCCCATTAAAAGGATACTGGATGTCAAAGGCATTTGTTTTCCTCCTGTACATTTTTTTTTTTCTGCCGTACTTATTAATCTATATGTAAATAACTCATTCACTGAAAACTCCTTAATTGTTATTTTGTAATTTAAAGTAAGTAAACTGCCTTCCCTTCACCTTTTTGGACCTAGCTACTGAGTAGCTATGTAACCCTGTGTCACGTAATTGAGTTCCACTGCATGAATACGATCTTCTTTATTTTTCAAAAATAAGATCCCGTGAAAATTCAAACACAGATCTTAATCATTATCTATAGAGAAAAGCACTGAAACAACAGGTAGAGACGAAGATAGCTCAGCTGATCTAACCTCTTCCTCTAGGAAGGACTCAGAATTAAGCCTAGGTAGGAAAACAGAAGTGCTGCGTTGTTTCTGTTTTAAGTGAAACAGTGCCCCCTGATGTTCACTGAGCTACTTGCAAATCAGAGAACTAAGGACTTCCTTTCAGATACGCTTGGATGAACTGTTAAACGAACTCCTGGACGCTGTAGTTAATGATATGCCAGGCTGAGAACCAGTTAGGTCCTCTGTACCGTACGCAGGATCTACAACCTGATAAAGTTTTGTTTCCTTGTTTTTACCCTGTTAAATAACTTCTTACCATGTACCCAGTAGAGACCGACTCAGAGTTGGTTATGTTTCCGCAGATAGCACATATTCATCAGTTTCCCTTGGGATAATTACCATACACGTGTCTATCTCAGGTAGTGATTTATGAAGTTCCCACTCTTCTATTCCATGGTCTTTTCTACTATTTAGCATCTTTTAGCATCACGACCAGTCCAACTGATGCCTTTTACTTCATCCAGTGATCTTCCTCTCTAGCTGAACGTTCTCCACTGATGCATGCTCAGTAGAACGTCTATCATTAGTAATTTATAGGTGCCAAAATCACAACATTTGTTCACTCAGCACTGGCCAGTCTGAACATCTGCTTGTCCTTGGATAGACATAAATTATACTGAGGTGCTGGAAAAGGAGGATGAAGGGGAGTATCTGGACATCTGCCTGTTGCATCCCAGTCTACTCCTGGTGTGAGGCAGTTTGGCCTCGTGTGGAGCCCTGCCTTTCTGTGATGATAAGCCTAGTCGTGTCTTTTCAGTATTGTGTTTCTTTAGCTAAAGGTGTCGTGTTAAAACAGAGGGATGCTTTTACAACGTTGCTAGACAGCAGGCAGCTGGTTTCAGAATAGCTTATTATAGAGGGTACAGCTTATTAGAGAGGGAAGAGCAACAGCTCCACACATCGCTGCGAGACAGCGGCATCTCACCGCGGCGCAACCGCCGCCTGCCAAGCAACAGCCGTGCCCTCGTCTGATTGGCTGGACAGGCTCCGCCCAGGGCTGTCGGCGGGTGGGGAAGTTAAGAATGCCTCGCCGCTTGATTGGCTGAAGCGGCAGCCTCCCGCGCTCCGATTGGCTGCCAAGGACGCCGTCTCGCGCTGGGGCGTGGCGTGAAAGGCGGTTCGCTGAGGAGCGGGCGGGTCGCTGCGAGGGGCGGTCGGTGTGTCTGAAGCGCTCGCTGCGCGGGAGGCGAATGATGTTGCTGGCTCTCGTGAGCCTTATCGTAAGTGTGTCGGCTGAGTTCTTACTCAGTGGGCTGCTGTGAGCCTGCCTCGGACAGCCTCCCCTCTGCGTAGGCCCTGCTGGAGGAGTAAAGTCGCTTTCTCCCGATGAAAGACAGCTTTCCTCGCGCTTCTCTTGGCATCCCCGCGTTTGCGGTTACAAACGAGCTAAAGGAAAGCCAGCTGCCCGGCTCAGCAGCAATACAGCTCATCTCAGCATCGGCGGGCAGGCCGGCTCCGCTGAAGACGTGTGGTGTGAACAAAGCACGGCAGCGCTGCTCAGTGCCCGTTCTTCTAGTTAACCAAGTCCTTCCCTGCAGGGACCTTGGCTCGCCACCATGTGGCACAGCCTGGTGCGTGACACACCTCCTGCTGCCCACCTGAAGCCCAACGCCATCAGAGCCCAGCAGCAGAAAAAGGTGGTCAGACCGAATCGGCGTTCTTCCCGAAAGAGGCTAGGAAACTGTGAGAAACGTGTTCGTAATGGTACCTGCGGACAGCTAAAGCCACCGGGCCTTGTTATTCAGCGCCAGGAGATGACAGCTTTCTTTAAACTCTTTGGTAGGTCGCTATTAGATACCGATTGACTGAACTGTAGGAAGCTCTTCAAGTCTGTTTTCTAAACTCGGAGATAATTTGGGGATGCTGTTGATATAGATGCTAACAGCCGTGCCTTAGGTTAAACGTGTTTTATTGTTGTTAAATTCCAGTGTATGTTTAATGCTTAAATTAAAGTACAGGGAGGCTGTATTTGTAAACTGACCTGCTGACAAGCATCTTTGTTGTAGATGATGATCTAATTCAAGACTTCCTATGGATGGACAGTTGCTGCAAAATTGCAGACAAGGTAAATGTAGTTAATGCTAATCTATCTTGAGTGAAAGTCTGCTGCTAATCACTTGATACTACAGTAAGAATACCACTTGTATTTTTTTTCCTAATACGTTTTTATGGAGGCTTTGAGAAAACCCAATTTATGCTTTCTTTGTTGATAAGGCACTTTGGTGTGAGACAAACATTCTAAGAGTTTTCTGTACTGTTATATTGAAATAATGTATTAATGCTTAATAATGAATGTAACGCTTCACATTTTACAACAGTATCTTTTGGCAATGACATTCGTTTACTTCAAGAGGGCTAACTTCACAATACATGAGCATACCAGACTCAATTTCTTTCTTGCTCTGTAAGTATTCTTAAATAATTATTAACAAAATTTTGGCATTAGTTTGTTGCTTTTTGATGATTCTGATACACAGTAAGACATCGTAACCAGTTTGTAGTTGTTCGGGTTCTGTATGAAGCAAAGAAACGTGATCTTCACATCATATATAGTTAGTGCAAATTGAACGTTGTTTTCCTGATTTCCAACTTGAGTAGCAGGGATGTTTGCATTGGTACTGTAATTTATAGCATGGACCTCTGCCTACAGAACTCTCAATCTCTGATCTTTGTATGGATTAAAATAAATATGCAATAAAATAAATGCAGGACGATAGATAAGAGATAGAAATGTATTATGTTTCTCTTATAAGACCCCATTTAATATTTTGCAAGCTTTCAAGTCATTTGCTCTGAAAGGATTCATAATGATGCACAACTTACTAATAAAGTTTCTGACAAGATGATTTGAGTCAACAGTAAAAACATAGCTAAGTAATTTCTGAGAATCGCTTTCCTGAATACTTACAAAAATTCCTATACATTGAAACAGAGGTGCAATGATGAACCTGCAATGATGAAGCCTTTATTGAGCCTATATACCTCCGTATTTGGCCAAGAAAATATAGCATACTGACAGATTCAGTACTTTGTTTCATAGTTACAGAGCACAGGTAATCTTTTCCTATAATAGAAGCTGCTCTGATTTGCACACCAGTGCAGGGAGAAAGGTGGCTGTTTCTTTTGCCGTGAACATCCATAGATCAAGGAGGAGAAAGTTGTCTGGCTTCTATGATGGGAGAAAAAGCAGTCCCAGAACTGATAGAGGACTAGAAAGGGCCAAAGGGTCTCACGGGGCTGGGACTAGAGAGAAGACTTGCAGTCTTGCAAGTGAGGAGACTAAAAGTAGTAATTTTTTCAGGTATGATTTGTACGGGTTATTAAACTAAAATTAGGTGAAAGCTGTCAGGATATATGAATTCTTACATACCTATTTATTTAGGAGGCTCTTGGGTAAAGTGTTTCAATAATAGCTTACCATAAATTTATATTTATCTAAAAGATACATGGAAAACTTTCTGACTGAGAACATATTGTTATCTGGAAAGAAGACTGCTTTATTAGAAATTTTTTTCCTTAGAATATTAGGAAAAATAACTAATATGTCTCTTAGTGTTAGAACTCACATTCATATGACAATTTGAGATTGAATAACAGACACAAACATATATATATTTCAAGGTATCTGGCAAATACAGTGGAAGAAGAGAATGAAGAATCAAAGTATGAGATTTTCCCATGGGCTCTGGGAAATAACTGGAGAATGCTCTTTCCTGATTTCTTAAAGTTAAGGGATCATCTGTGGAGTAGAATTGACTACAGGGCTATTGTAAGCAGACGTTGCTGTGAAGAGGTAGGGACAGTTTTAATACCGTAGATACTGAAACTACAACAATTAATACCAATTAACAGTATAGCTCCACGCTAACAACTTCTTCCCTAAAGTGAGTAGATGAGCCACAGGAAGGAAAAGGTGGAGCTTTTCCTTCATCAGTTTTTTTTCTTCTGCATTCAAAATACAATCTTTGAAATAATGGTTTTAAGGTAAACTAGAATATTTTGTTATGCTACAGTTTCAAGCTCTAAGGACAAGAATCTTTCTGCTTTGTGCAAATAATTTTGCTTAAAGTATATTATTAGCTGCTAAACATCATTCACTGCGGAAATATTTTTGTATGCATCTTTGCTTTACAAATTTCGAGTTTGTACACAAAGTGAAACCTTTAAGTAGCACCGCAGGTGAAATTTTACTCTCTTAAAAGTTAACAATGTAACTTTAATAGACTTGGTAAGGCAATGGTTTTTCACTTTATTTCGAAAAAGAAAGGACATGCTTTTAACATGCTTTGTTAATGTGTTGTTACAACCTCCATTTTTCAAACATACTGGGGGGTAAAAGGCATTCCTTGCTTTCCAGATGACATCTGTCTGTCTGAAAAAGCCCTGCTATGTTTGAAGAACATAATGTTTACTACAGCTGGTGGAAAAGAAAATCTGTTCTGGGAATGGGATGAGATGCTTATGGGAAAAATACAAGCAATGAGGCAAGAGTGGAGTGTGCTTCAGAGCACGCCGTACCAACTTGGTTGTTGTGAGTTTAATGACTTTGTGAGCCAGAAGATCCATCTAGTTTATGTTTAATAGTAAAAGACAACAACTTCAGTCCAACAAATAAAGCATAACCTGGCATTTGTGATGCTTTACTTATCACATTTAAACATCTGAATACAACCAGTCCACTTATTCTCGCCTGCGTTAGCAAAACTAGTGAGACTGATGCAGACAAGGTACCTCTTCTCTAGTCTTAATTTTGTTATATGTGAATTGGATCCCTTGTTCTCAGCTGTATGTTTGCCAGTTATTTTCACTTCTGATGGAATGGTTGCTCTGCTAGGTAATGGCTATTGCTCCAACACATTACATCTGGCAGCGAGAACGCTCTGTGTACCACAGTGGAGCCATAAGGAACTACAACAAAGATAAAATTCTGCTGCCACGAGGACCTAATAATTCTCCTATCCCCTGTTACGTCTGTGGTAACAAAGGAAGATTTGTACGACTGGGATTGTCATCTTCCTCCTCATCTGCTAGCAGTTTAGAAGAGTTATGTTCATCCCAGGATTCGAAGGACACCTTTGCAATTGAAAAAATGCTAGTTGACTCTCCTGCTTCTGCCCAAGGTATGGTTAAATACCGCAAATATTTTTGAATTAGTTTAGGCAACTGAGGCTGTGTTTGCCCTTTAAACCACAGTAAGGACCGCTTTATCCTTGGTGTGGTACGATGATCTGTCTCCTTTAAGTGCAGCTCTGTCTCTGACAGAATTTATGCAAGATACTCTTTCAGAGTTGGGGCATGTATGGAAAAGAATATAGGAGTTTATTGCAAAAACTGTTTTATAGAATAGAATCTTTACATAGCGAACTACTCAAAGCTGTCTCCTGAGCCTTTACATGAGAAGCCTCTGATACTCAGAGCAGTTATGTCTAATCTTTCATTACAGTTGAGAGTGGAACCTCTGAGATGTAAACTTCCTGTGCTAAGGCCCCTGTTCTGCAAAGACATATTGCAGTGTTCTTAGTATTAATTATTTATTACTTCCTTATTAAGGGTTAGAGTTTCAATTAATTAACCTTCAAGTTCCAGCTCTGTGTCTGATTTGACCATTTGAGTACCTCATAGCAAAGCTAATAAATACCATGGCAGATCTCAGCATAGTTTCTGGAAAAAAAGCTATTCTTATCAACAACTGGTATCTTTTCTTAGAAACGAGCACAGCTTTTATCTAAAGAACAAGTTCAGTGAATTTCAGTTTCCATTACAGTTGTGCAAACACTATTCTTACAGAACCCAATAGCAACCAGTTGGTATGTAGCCAAGTTGGAAGCTGCTTCACTAGCATCTCAGAAGTTTTCTTACCAATTTTCTTCCCCCTCCTGATTTCTGGTAGACTGTCAGAGCCTGTCCAGCAAAAGGAGAAGAGACAATACCTGGAACCAAGACAACTCCATGGATTGGTTTACAATGAATGAAGAATGAAATGCACTGAACAAAGAAACAGAGGCTGTGCTTTGCCGAACAATTGGTGTTGCACTGCCGTGCCATACACGATGACTGTTAAAACATTTCCCTTTAAATAGCAAGTAGGATTTAGGAGTTTGATAGGCAGTAGAAATCAAAGCAGGAATTACTTAGAAGTTACAAAACTTGCAAAACATAGCTATTTTGTAACTCTTTATTCTGATACAACCTCAGGTTAGCAGCTAACAGCAGCAGCATCAAGAAAGTGGTGGTCGAAACTTTCTCAGCTTGGTGAGGAATGCTAATTGAAAAACAAAACTAGTTACTATTTCAATATTCAATTTCAAGTTTTTAATATTGAATTTCTAGTTTATCATAATTAGTTTATCATAATTAGTTTATCATAATTAGTTTATCAGAATTAGTTTATTAGTTTATTACAATTTCTATTGAATTTCTAGTTTATTATAAGTTTCATGATCTTGTGATATAGTAATATGTCAAGTGCTAGTATAGAAGTTGTTATTTTTGAAAATATTTTAAAATTTACAATAAAAGCATTTTTTCAAGTATCTCACCTGAATGAGCGTCCTGCCAACGCGATGGTCTCGCAACGTAAGGTGCTGAGCAGTGTGTTTCAGCATCATCAGGAAATGACTCTGTGAGAAGTACATCTTTTTGTATAATTCTTTCCAACAGGTTTGAGAACATGCACCCCTCAGACTGCAGCTACCGATGCACATTCATTTTCTTTATCCCACTCTTAAAGTGCTTTGTTGTCATCTATCAGTACTTTCAGACCTCTCTGCTCTACACTGAATTTCACAACCCCATATCAGCCATATATTTATATAAGGTATATATATATATATATATATTTTACTTGCTAAGACAGTATAAATTGAATACAGGGCATACGGGTAGCATTTCCATAGGGAATCCTTCAGCCCATCACGATCCTCAGCAAAAGGACTGAATTTTGTTTAAAAATTTCAAAACAGTCAGGAAGGACAGTCGTTCTGTATTTGCAGATTGTCATTTATTTTCTGTTTAGCCCGGATTTTGACCTTTGGGTTGTCAAAACTGCACTAACAATCTTACTAACAATACTATTCTTACCATCGCCTTCACCTTCGTTAAGAACTATTTGATCCAGAGTTTGGATTTCATCACATTCTTTCTGTTGAGGATCTTCCTCGATATCTTCTTGAGTTTCCACTCTTTGGCTTGATTTGCAGTTCTTGATTTTAGCAGGGAGCACCAACCAATTTCTATGAGTTACCTCAACGATCTTTTCACAGGAGAAAGGGAGCCTGCATGTCCGTATTCTGTCTAAAAGGTCTATAACCTGTGTGATGCTTTTGAAGAAATGCAAAGGATAAAGGAATATTTTGAGAACTCCAATCAGTATTATAGACTTAGTTCTATTGCCTTTGCCATATTCTTTACCTTAGGGTTTTTTGCACATCCTTCCATTTTAGGATAAAGGAACTAGCAACTCGACTACTGAATTGAACACAATAGTTATTTTGAGGATGTCATTAACTAAAACCTCTCAGTGATCACAGTAAGTGTTCTGAAGGAACCAAAGGATGTAGACAAGTGTGATTTATACCGAGTGCAACTCCTAAAAAAGGAAATAAATGAAAAATGCAACAACAACAACAAAGGCATATATATATATATATATATGACATATATATATATATACATACATACATATATATATATATATATATATATATATATATATATATGTTACTTCCATTAGAGTTGGATGGGTATTTTAGGAGAGCATGGTTTACCAACAATTTCAGGTGATGCCTGTATAAATGTTGAAGTGCCAGAAGTAAATACTTACTTAGCTAAATACACAGCACACACACCACCCTCTTTAAGACTGGGGTGTACAACAGGTAGAGCAGATTGAGGGTTAAGCATATCCAGAACTATCTGCAAGAGAATTATGTTTTTCTGTTATAACAATACTTGAAAAACAACATTTATGTATGGAAAATTGATGCATGCTACAGCAAGGCAGTTGTATTAATGCTCCTGAACAGCTTAGAGAAACCTGAGTTCCCCAATCTATAAAAACAAGCCCATGCCATTTCCACCTGAATTTCTATTACCGCAGGAAGTTCTGTGCCACCAGCAAGGCAGTCCTGTACTAACATTAAACCTCCTACTAATTAAACTCTGTAATGTTATTAAAGCTGCATTTACTAACACCTTTGGATATCTTGTTTGTAAATGTTAACAAGCTCAAATGCATCTGTGTGATGAAATGATCAGGCTACGGTCTAAAGGTGTAGTTTGCTGCTGGTTTCAAGGTTTAGAAAACTTCAGTCTCAGTTACCCATCCTTTATTTCTTTTTGGTAGAAATCTATTCAAATTGTAAAACAGTGAGAAATGCAGTATCTGATCCTTCCTGTGGACTGTTGCATTTAAAGTTTTTAAAGATCATGTATTTTAATGCTAGCTATTCTGTTTCTTCACTTAAACCCTATTCCCACATTGTCATTTGGAGTATTAATGTAATTAGTTTGTCTTTTTAGAAACATTCTGTATTCTGTGCAGCTGATAGCCAAGTGTTTACATATTCATATTTTCAATAAGCTTGTGTAATTTCTTTAAATTTAATGCTTAAAATATTATGCCTTACTCATATACAAGAATTTCTGCATTTCTCCAAAATCAAAGCAGATAAGTATGTCCTTACAAGGCAAGAACAAGATCTTGCTATTCTTCTGTTACTGCAGCTTGACTCTTTCATTTGGGAAAATGTAGATGGAACCTGGTGCAAAAAAAAAATCAGGATCATCTGCTAGCTGGTGTTAAGTTAGATTTGGGAATCCCACTGCAAGTGACAGCACCTGAGTTTTCAAGTCACACAGAAAACAACTGTTGATTTATGTCACGTATAGATTATTTGGACTTACTGCATCAAATGTTAAAGATTTCATATCCTCAGCAGCTCTTGAGATGTCTTTAAGAATGAAATCCACGTTATCTGGCCACTCCTCCATATGTCCTATTTTCCACGTTGTGCGCCAATGCCTGTAGTTCTTCTTTGCTAAGTTGTGATGGTCATCTCTGATTTCATAGCTGATAACACGTCCCTCGGGCCCAACTTAAAACAACAACAACAAAATACGAGATGTACTATTTTCCCATCCATACTGAGTAATTTAGAAAAAAGATAGTGATGTAAGTGACAAGAAATATGCCTCAGGATCTCCAATTCATTTTAGGAAATAAGCACATACGTAACGTCTTCCTGCAAAGTAACTCTCTGCAGGAAAAGATGACTTGAGTACCTGCAGCCTTGTGAACCCTTGATTCCTCTGCTACAGCTACCAGGGAGCAGCTAAGAAAGCTGCAATGCAGTTTGCTACTCTTAGATACCATAAAGCAGATTTGAAAGCAATGGTATTAAATTATTACTATTTTTTTAAACAAAGGTTTGCTGTTCTCCCCCCACCTTTTCCTTTAGAATTCAGCAAAGGCTAGGAAAAATCCCAAGGCCTGCTCACTGACCTCACCCCATGGACAAGCTTTACAAGTGTACTTTATAACCATAACTGCCTTATTATAAACTTACTATCTTGAAATCTTCACTATGAGTCCAATTCACAACATTCTTCATAGAGGAAGTGTTATCAGGCTTTCCAGGCAAAGACAGCAGTGTGTACATTGCTGTATTATTCTGTGCTTGTATGATTCTCTTTTCTCAACACTACCATCCCATTAACTTCTTACTCCTCGCTACTTTTATTGGGCAAAGACAGCTTTCCACAAGGAACAGCTCACCATGACTTTTTAAGCTATTCTGAGCCAGCAGGCTCCTTTCTTCATCTATTTGATCCCGTGAATCCTTTCAGAAAAGCAAAGAAAACAGGTTGTTTCACCTCAAACAACTACAAAACAGATGGACTCCAGGAAAACTAAACTACTGTGGGGTGCAGCCAAGAGGGGCAGCTCTGCCCACATCCTGCCCCAGCCCCATTTACCTGCCAATTCCCCTCTGCAGCTACCAGCTCCTGACCGTGCAGGGAACAGGACAGGAAACTGAAATGGCAAGAAACTAAACCTGCAGTCTACAAAAAGAGGAAAAACAGCCTTCTGCCAGATTGCCTTCCCAAGACAGTTGATAATAGCATTAAATCCTTTACAAGCACAAGTGAAAAGGCACGACAGTTCGACTGAGTGCAACAGCTCTCTACCTTCTAGAGCAATGAAATCTAAGTCAGACCAGGCTAGTTCATTGCTTGAAAAAACAAACAACACAAACATTTTCATTATTCACGTCACTCAACAAAGTGGGGAAACGGAAACTGAGAAAGGAAGGAGTCTGGAGGAAGGCTTGGTGCACTAGAAACCCAGCAGTAATGAGAACTAAACCTTATCTTTCAGGAGGGTGACTCTTTATACAACAACCCTCAAAATACAGTCAAAGTATAGTTCTTGCATAGGGCCAGGCACAGGCTTCCTTTAAGTCAGCAGAGTTTATGTGAATGTTAAAAGTGCTGCAGAACTTTTAAGAGTTGACTGCAACTGTTTGATCAGCTTAAAAACAACATAAGGAAGCACTGAACAGCCTGAAGATGGAAAGGCCTTACAGCAGGATGTGGGTAGGCTGGATTGTTGGGCTGATGGCAATCTATGAGCTTCAACAAGGCCATGTACTGGGTCATGCACTTTGGTCACAACAACCCCATAAACTGCTACAGGTTTGGGGGAGAGTGGCTGGAAAAGGATCTGGGGATGTTAGCTGTCAGTGTGAGCATGTGGGCAAGGCGGCCAATGACATCCTGGGTTGTATCAAATAGAGCAGCCAGCAGGAGCAGGGAGGTGATCATCCTCCTGTACTCAGCACTGGTGAGGTCACACTCGAGTGCTGTGTTCAGCGTCAAGGGGCCTCTTATTACAAGAAAGACATTGAGGCTCTGGAGTGTGTCCAGAGAAGGGCAGCAAAGCTGTGAAGGGTCTAGAGCACAAGTATTATGGGGAGCAGCCAAAGGAACTGGGATTGGCCGGTCTGGAGAAGAGGAGGCTCAGGGGGAAACCTTACTGATCACTACAACTGCCTGAAGGGAGGTTGCAGTGAGGTGGGGTTGGCCTCTTCTCCCAGGTCACAGTGATAGGATAAGTGACAGGATAAGTGGTGATGGCCTCAGGTTGCACCAGGGGTGGTTCAGGCTTGGTATTAGGAAAAACTTCTCAGAAATAGTGGTTTGCATTGGCACGGGCTGTTCAGGGAGATGGTGGAGCCACTGCCCTTGGAGGTGACAGGAAATGCTTAGATGTGGCACTGAGGGATGTGGTCAGTGGGCACGGTGGGGGCAGTAGCTGGACACGATGATCTTAGGGGTCCTTTTCAATCTTTGTGATTCTACAGTTCTGATAATTGCGCTGCATTTCTAAGAGCAGAGCCTTACCCGCTCTTGACAGAAACAAGCTCAGAGCACCAGACCCGCTGCCACTCTCCAACACAACGTCTCCTGGGTGGACATCCATCATCATCAGCATAGCACTGATATCCTAGGGGAGACAAAGTCACGACACGTTACTTTGAAACGAGGGTGAGGCCCACCCCGGCCCCCTGACCGTCCCGCCGGTACCTTGGGGTAGGCGATGGTGGGTCCCCGCGGCATCAGCAGCACGTACTCGTCCAGCGAGGGCCGCCTCAGCAGCAGCCGCGCCCCGGCCGAGGAGCGCAGCAGCTGCCCGGGCAGCCGCCCAATGATGTCCCGGTGCGGCAGGAGCCCGCCGTGCGAGTTCAGCACCGCGCCCGCCTCCAAGCGGCACAGCAGCTTCAGCGTCGCGTTGTGCTTCCTCCGCAGCTCCGCCAGCGCCAGCTCCCCCGCGCGGAGCGGGCTGTGGCGCGCCGCCATTTTCTCCTCGCGAGGTCCCTGCGGGGAAGGCGCTGCGGTGGGCGCCGCGCTCGGCGCCGCCATTTTCTCCTCGGGAGGCGCCTGCGGGGAGGCCGAGGAGCGGGGCTCCGCGCAGCGCTCCACCGCCGCAGCCTGCTCCGGCGGCAGCAGCCGCTTCACTCTCTCCAAAGGCGACAGCGAAGCCTCCCACGCCCTCCTCCGCCTCCGCCCGTCGGACGCTGAGGAAAAGGCCCGCCGGAGGAGCCGGGCGGGAGCCACCATCCTGCAGGCGACGCGCTCTGTGATGACGCCATCCCGCAGGCGGCGCGCTGTGATGGCGCCATCCCGGTCGCGTCACGGGGAGCGCGGCGCACGCGCGCGGAGCGAGCACGCGGCCGGAGCTGCGCAGGCGCGGAGGGCCGAGCTGGGAGCGCCATGGCGGCGGCGTGCGGCGGGGAGGTGGCGGCACGGCCCCCCTTGGCCTTCTCGCCTCACGACCGCCGTTTTCTCGCCGTCTCCGGCTCGGATGGGAGGCTCCGCGTGTGGGACGCGGCGAGCAGCCGCCTACAGCACGAGTACGTGCCCTCCGCGCACCTCAGCGCCGCCTGCACCTGCCTGGCCTGGGCCCCGCCGGGGGGACGGCCGCCCCCCGACAAGGTACGGGCGGATCGGGGGGAAGGGATCCGCGGGAGGAGCGCTCGTACCCCGCGCGGCCTCGAGGTGCGGCCGCGCCGCTTCACCCCGCCCTCCCGGCGCCATGCGGCGAGGCCCGGCAGCGCCAACGGGACCGGGCTGGCCCGCGCCACGTGTGGGGCCGCTGCTCGGGACGGAAAGCCCACTTGATGGCGGGGAGCGCGGCGCATCCTTCTCTTTTTTTTTAATTTTCTCTTCTAAATTAACTAAAGGTGTTCTCAGCCAAAGTGCTGATGGCGAAACCCGTTTGCTTTTCGCGTTCCCTGCGTGGAAGCAGCGCTCCTTGAAGCAGCCCGGTATGTGGCACGCAGCCCGGCTCTCCCCTCCTCAGGACCCCGCGCCTCGTGCTCTGCGCTCAGCAGCTCCAAGCACCTCGGGGGATCTCCGCCTTCTGGCTAAGCTCACTGGGACGCTCCAGCTGAAAGCCTCTGTAGTGCACGCCTTAAATCACTTTTTCGGCTCGTTTATATCGAGGTAGTCCTTACTTTGCTCACTGTAACAAACGACTTCCTGAGCAAGATGCTTCTCTTGAATGGATTTGTGCAATACACCCGGTTTGCCCTAAGAAGTGACGAGTTAAATGTGTTTTGGTAAAAGCTTTTTATAAATACTGCAACAGGTATCTTGAAATGCTCTGTGCACTCAGATTACCCACCCAAAGGAAGGCTGTGTTGCCCCATTTTTGTTACTTGAGCAGCTTAATCCATGAGCTATATAAAGTGGAAGAAAGAATTAATTTCAGATTGGCCTCTTCATTGCTCGTTTTTAATTCAGCTTGGAAGAAAAGAAGATGCATACATTAATGGGAAGGCTGAACAGGTTAACAGAAACTGAAACTGATGTTCACCTCTGCTGTGTGCAGTGCAGCTTCAAAGCTTGACGTACCGTGCTGCCTTAGGTCAAGCACAGGAGGTTTTGAGTGGTGCTTAAACATTAGGGCCATTTTAGACAGCCACCCCTAAAGACTACAGATGCTCCAATATAGCTGTTTTTAGGGTTGTATGCAAAAAGGATTTCATCAGGCAAGCTTTGGCTTTCTCCGTTTTTTTCCTATGGCATTGTTTAGTTCTTATTCTTTTTTGCTGAATTGTGATGTCTCCAGGTAGCAGTAGTACCTGGTGTGCAGGAGTAAAACCATGACAGTAGGCGCCTGGTGTTTTGTCAGGTTACACCTCGACTGCGCTTTGGACTGCTTCTGTGTTAATGAAGGCCAGGTGTTTAGAGGGGAGCATGAGGAGTGCAGTGTTGAACTCCAGGCCCTGGAATTGCTGATGCAGTGGTGACTTATTGGCATGCTCTCTGCACACGTGCTTTTGCAGCGTTAGTGCTTCCTGCTTGTCCTGTTCACCACCTCCCTTCCCACCAAGTGGTGTCTTTTGCAAGAGCGTATGGACCACTGACTTTCAAAGTAGTTTCTTCCATCTCCTTCCTAGTAAGTTGCAGCTGTTCTGTCATCTTCAGCTCTTAAGGCTCTTCAGGGTTTTACGAGCTTTACTTAACATGTTAGCAAGAGAAATGAGATTTCTGTTAATTAGAAGAAAAGTCTCGTTCTCAGTAGCTGCCCTACACAAGAAAGAATGTTACAGAAATTCTCATTTGCAAATGACTTTTTCTAAGTATCTCTGCTAGTTAAAGCTAAGCTTTTTGAGTATTTTAAAGTAAGTTTGAGTTTCCATAAATCTGAAAATATTCAAAAGAAGCTGATGCTTGATACATATCAGCTGCTCTGTCCTCTCCATGAGAGCTAGGTGCTTCTTTGGAGTCCCTTCCAGCATGAATAGGTCTGAATTTTTCATCGATGCTTCTTTCAAGACAGAACACCCCATGAATAGTGCTGATGAAGACTGTTCACTAAAGGAGTGGATGTAAGAAAAGTAATTGGAGAAAACTTCACTACCCCTACTTTCTTCACAACACTGGTAGTGCTGCGGACCTCAGCGGGACCTTGTGACGCTCAGTGATGCCTTTGGTTTGCTTTAAGGGAAATCAGTCATAATGAACCATATGGAGATTGAATGAGCTTTAATTAAAGCTTTATTCAGGGGACAAGAACAAAATCTGCTCTTAATTGTGGTTTTGGTTCCCAGTATTGATTGGGAGTGATAATTAATAGAACTAGATATACAGATTTTAAAAAGTCTCTGGAAACATATAAGCTGTGCTTACGTCTCCAGTGGCAACGTGGTCCCTGTCTTTGCATTTCTAACAACTGTTTTGAGGTGGCTGAGTTGGCACTGCTGCCAGAAATTTAACGAGTTTATTCAGTGCGTGAGTCTCCTTATATTATCTTAAAACCTGGTTGATTAATTAGTTGTGCTTTGTAACTGTGGTGATTTCTCAGCACTTATGTTTTCATTTCTTTTTTTGTAAACACTTTTCTTTCCCAGGGAAGGTGAAACCTAAACAAATCCTTGCAAAAACCAATGTCCTTACTTTTCTCTAGAGCCCACTGCTGTTTTTAACAAGCAATGCAGCATATTTGCATTTATTGGCTTTGAATGAAACCATTTTCCTTGGGGGTGGGGAAGTGTGTATGTGAAATATGTAGGAAAAGAAGGCTCTAGTTCTTCAAACTAGTTTTGAGACTATTTACCCTGTGCTGTTAAAGTTTTTAATTTGCTGAAAACCCCCAAAGTATGGTAGCCATTATATCTCTGGAGCTGTAGAAATTATGTACGTTATATGATGTATACGATCTGACAGATGAGAATCATAGAATCAGTAAGGTTGGAAAGGTCTCCTAAGATCATCATGCCCACCCCTGCCATGCCCACTGACTGTGTCTCTCAGTGCCACATCTCCGTGCTTCTTGAACACCTCCAGGGATGGTGACTGTGCCAGTGCCTAACCATTCTTTTGGAGAAGAACTGTTTCCTAATATCCAACCTGAATTAGCCATTTTATTTTAGTGATTAATTACTTGGGTTTACCCAGTCACAATAAACACAGCTGTTTCTTCTGCCTTTTTTTTTTACTCAAGTTTTGCATGCATTTGGTTAAGCAAGATGAAATTCTTTATCGAAGTAGTTGGTATCCCTTGCGAAGCAGGAGGGTGTAGACTTGAGAATTGCCTGATAGGCTGTAGGAAGACCCCTAGTAATCGACTCCAGGACTAGGATAGATGACATAGTTTCAATTCCTGGTTGCTTCTCTCTGTGTGGTGTGGTCACGCTTTCTTTTTAGGAGGCATTGTGGTTACTTAGTATTGCAAGACTGATGGTAAACTGATGATTCCTAATAAAACTTAACATACGTTTCTGTTCTGGGAATGAAATAATTTGGTCATGTTTAATCTTTACCTCTGCCTCTGGGAAATGAACTCTGAAAAATGTTTTTCCCTCCATGTGTGGTCACTAAGTTAGCAAAATGGCCTCTATTGTGCATTTCCAAGAGACTCAGCAACTTTGCTACCTTGAACGTGGAGGTATAAGATGAACCTCTAAATTGCCACGTCTACATCTTGTGTCTTAGCAGAATTTGTGCTGGCTGACTGGATCTCAGACTTGGAGAGGTTTCTTCCCCCTGCTTTAGCACTTAAGAATAACAGGTCAAACTAATTAATTCCATTTTTTTTTATTCTCTCTTTTGCAGGATGGCCCCCAGAGGAAAAAACGGAAGTCTGAAGCTACAGGAATGGACAAGCAGTTAGACATCCTGGCTATTGGCACAGCAGTTGGTAGCATTTTGTTGTACAGCACAGTAAAAGGAGAATTACAGAGCAAGCTAGTAAGTTACACACTCATTGTCACGTGCTGCCAAATAATGGTAGTTTCAGTCAGCTTATGCTGTTCTTTCTGTTGCTTAAAAATGGGCTAAACTGACCTAGTTAATCAGATCTTTTCCTCTTAATGACTGCATACGTGAATAGAATTGCAATAATTTAGATTCTTGGGAATCTTTGAGTGGTACTGCTGTTGGCAATATGAGACCTCTTGGTTTGGCAGTATCCTAACATTGTGTGTGGATTTATTTTACATCAAATATGTTCATAATGATGAAATGTCTAAGTGAACAATTAAGTTCTCCCTGGGCATATCGTCCCCTGTGCCTCTCTAGGGCTACGGGAGGAGAGGGCAGGATTGAAGTATTCATCAGCTCTTGGTTAAGCTGTGGTACTCTTTGATGGACTCTGTACATCCTGATTGGACTTCAGCAAGCAGGCACTTAGATATCTGTTATCAAGACACCTGTGCTAACTGTGCTACTCCTCAACAGGTTTGGCTGTGTATGTCAGTAGTGCAGGACAACTTTTTGTTAACTGAAGTAGCAGAACAATAATGAATACATGCACAGGTGAAAATATGAAGTATCTTTAACTTGCAGCTCTGTATGTGTACTGGTTGTAAAAAGCACAAAACAAGTTGCATGCTATGCACTCCCCTTTGAGGTATCTGTGATTTGGATTCATTTCTTGAAAGAGCACTTTGTTCACATTGTTGATGTGGGGAAGATTCAGTAGCAATACCTCTTTATTCGTAAGTAACCCTCTCCTGTTTTGTAGGATGGTGGTCATGACAATAGAATAAATTGTGTGAGGTGGCATCAGGACAACTGCTGCTTGTATAGCTGTTCAGAAGACAAACACATTGTGGAATGGAACACACAGACCTGCAAAGTAAA